GAGCTGAACGGAGGTCACGAAGAATTGCTGCTTTCAGGATGGAAACACAACTTACAGGGAAGCTGCGAGCTCGGAGAGGGAGGCAGACGTAGCTTGGACTTCACTAAGCAACAAATAAGCATTGATATGTGTAGATACTAGCGGAGCACAGCGTACGTTTCCGGATTAGGTTTCGTTCTAATTGTAAGGGCTTGAGTCTCCTGAATCGCGCTGTTCAATTAATCGTAATTAGATTTCCACGCTATTTCTTGGTGAGCACTTACGGTGGTAGCCCACTGATCGCAGCAGCCGCTGATTTTGCATCCCCGGGGCAGGAGTTGAACATCAGCGGCGTGACCTCGTGCAGGAGGATCCCCTTCAAGGCCTCCGCCTTGACTGCGCTAATTTCCGAGACAGCACTGGAAGAAGTTATTTGACCTTCCTTGTAACATTGATCGTCGGTCCAGTCTTTCCATTCGAAGTAATCTGGATATCACATAAATACTCCGTCTGGTATATCGCAAAACAAAGCAGAATAAGTCGGCTTACTGCGGAACTGAAGGAAGCGGCAAGCTTCAGTATATCAATGAAAGGGCCGAAGGCGACAGGAGACTCAACTAGTCCACACGAGAACCAGTCAAAGTTTTGTTTCATATCTACGATTTGCTGATGTTTGTAAAAATCTGGAGAAAGGCACATGAGAATCTGAGCGAGATGGAGGCAGCGAGGAACGAGACGAACCAACGAGGTCGATGTACCTCAGCCATGCGGCTTCGACCACGAACTTCACAGTGTAGCTGTCGTCATAGAACTCCTCGGCATTCATTTCGGTGGTCAGGCACAAATGCATCTTTAAAAGATGGCGCCTCATAATAATGGCGATGAGCATGAAAATGGACTGAGATGAAATGGTGATCAGGTCGATGTCGAGAGAAAAAGAGACTCATACGCGTTCAATCGGCTCCCCTCTGAGGATCTCTTGCACTGTGTCCAGCGCGTCAATGTCGTAGTGGATTCTTTCCAACCGTGATTAAGGGCAGTTTCTTGCGCATCGATATATTCCTTGAACTGGTCCGCCCGCCACTCCGTTCCTTCAAAACAATCGATAGCGCTTGTCAGTCCGAGAACAAGCGGCCACGTCTCCGTTATGTAGTTGCTGATGTACCGCTTATTCCCGGGCATCTGAATCGCTACTTTGTCTCGGACGAGGCGCATTTCCGCGAAGATGGCGTCGATTTCTGTGCAGTATCTTGTGGCGTATATCTGCCATCCTACAACCCAGTACGAAATCCAGCGCGGTAAGCTGGACAGGGTCAGCCCATGAGCTTCACGCCAGAGCAGATTCGTACCTCCAACCATCATGACGACTCTGCGTGAATGCATTGACCTCAGATATCGTGCTGAATCCGGATGTGTCTGAGTCCAGGACCTCTGTCGTACCGGATGAGAAGAAGTTTGACAGCGATCAAACTTGATCTTACGCTGAAGATTTCCGAGCCGTCTAACCTGCAGATAATCTAGCGCCCAATCGTCGGGGAGCGGAACACCCATGGCGGTTTCAGGGTCTTGAACCTCCTCCTGATATGGTACAGAAGGGGGGATAGCAGACGGAGGAGGAAGATCAATGTCCGCGTCCGCGTGCTCGTTGCGCTCGACCAAATAGTCTCGGAGGGCCAAAACTAGTGTGCGTGTTTTGGCGCTGCCTCGCCAACCCTGAAAAGTGGTTGACGGCAGTGAAAAGATTTATGGGCATAGCGTACCTGATCCTTCCAAACTTGGCGCATAATCTGCCAGGGCGTCACGCATCTCTGTAAGTTGAATTGAATTGAAGGCTAGATTCACACCTTGTCTTTCAGCCGAAGATGCGGTCCGCCCTTCAGGAAATTGATCACACGATCCCCTTCCTCATGAATGTTGTTCTTGAGATCCTCTTTGAGCAAATCCAGACTCATATCCAAGCGTTTCAAAAACCTCTCCATATTCTCTTCTATCACCGAGTTGATATCACGCCGAAATTCCTTGCGTAGCGCGAGCAAGTCCTGTGTGAGCTGCTCATGCCATCCTGCTCCGTCCATCTGGCCAGCAGCGTGAGTGCATTGGATGTTGTGTGTGTGTGCGCTTCTCATATCGTCCTGGAGCTCGAGGAGCATGGTACATTTGTCGTTGTCCTTCATGACTTTGTTCACGTTGATTTCGTCAACGCCTCCGTGCGCGGTGAAGAACGCCTCGATCTTCCGGTCTTGCGGGGTCTTGAAGGATTGGAACTCCTTCATGATATCGTCGTGCATCTTTTTGTTTTGGTCTTGGATCCTTGAAGAAATCAAGCCGCTGAACGTGTCAATAGAGAATACTCACTCTTTTAGCCTGTGTAAGACGCCATAAATTAGATGGGGTCGCGGAAAGACACTGGCGACTTACCTAGTACTCATGTCTTGGATCGTCGTCGCGGTATTGAGGGTAAGCGCCAGCTGAAGCTCCTCGCGTCGGGTTTTGAACCTGACCTTGAAGTCTGCAAGCTTGTCGTTCCACCCCGACGCCTTGCAGAACTTGACGACCAGAGACTGTTTTTGCATCGCATCTAGGGCTTAAGAATACACCCTCTTGTAAGAGTGATGACCCAAGCTCGGGAGGAAATGAGTACGCACTATTGTAGCATTCTGTAATGTCCTTGTCCATCTGCTGTCCGAGTTCCTCAAGCCGCGACACTAAAGGCTGTCCGCCAGGCATCACCCGTTTATCGTCCCGAGTGATTTCCACTCCCTTCATCCTGCACAACGTGAAGCTGCGACAATCCCCAAGTTAGAATAACTTACTCGACTATTATGCACATGACGCCCTTGATGGTCTCGAACAGAGCTAACCTGCTTCTTTGGAAGAGATTAGTATGTCGTATTGAGAAACAATTTATTTAAGTACTTCTCGTTATCGTGCCGCTTCATCTCTTGTTTGTACGCAAACTGGAACGGTAAGAATGCAGCTGGAGAGATATATGTGTTGTGAGTCGCTGCTCCGATGACTACCAGAATTTCACGCGCACCTTCCACGAATGGGTGGACCTTTGAAAGCCTCTCGAGCGCACTCATGAGCGCCGGTACCCCACTGAAGACGGCTCTTCCGAATTCTTGCACCTCTTCATTTGCGGCAATAGTTTTGATAGTCGCAACGATGCCAGTCGACGCGGACACAGCTGCCCCTGCGTACATGGATTAATTAGTGGGCAAGGCCGACAACACTGATAGCAACGAACGCACCTGCACCATTCTCGACTTTATTCAACAACTTTTCGGCCTTGGAGACGTCGCCATTTGGATTGCTGACTACTTTCCACATCTTTTCCTTTTCCTCCGTGGAAACTGCGGTTATCGTAACGGTCGCGGTTATTGGCCCCGGTTGAGTGTTTCCGGTGGGGCCCGCGGTCCCGCTTGGTGGCTGTCCGTTGGCCTTCGAAACTGCAGCCTCATCTGAGAAACTGGATGGCGATACAAGACGCACGGGCAGAGTTGTTCCGCGACGCATCTCTTCCCGGGTAGATCGCGAATCTTCCCCATTTAGAGCACCGTGAGTCAGAGTCGGCACAGGAGGAACAGGGTCTTGATCATCGTCAGAATGGTGCTTTATATTATGGTGGGAGATGCAGCGTAGAAGACGCTTCATTCTGGCGCGGACAATAGAGACGAATGGTTCTTAGTGACGGAAAGACCATGGAGCGATCCTTCTATATATGAATTGACAATCGTTGAGGCGATGCGCAATGCCGTGATCGCGCGCATAATTGTGTGGCGTCCCGGGAAAATCGCCCTTTAAATTTGGGCACGCTTCTGTGTCAAGTCGGTGAATGAGTCGGTGGGCAAAGTTTTGATACATGGCGTCGATACCGACAGCGGGCACGTACCTGGGCATGTCAAGATCAACGGGCCTTTGTGTAAGAAAACACAAAGATTAATTGATATTGTCATGCCCAGGTACTGTACGTGCCCTGGTACGTGCCTGGCCGGCAGTGTTACGGCGGGTACGTGAGCTCCACATGAAGGCCACTTTTGCAACAATGACTGCAGTTCCGGTTTAATGTCAAGCACCATGTCCCGCACAAAGCGGATCACAAGCCGCTTCAGCCACCTCGAATTAATGAAGCACAAGAGCGCCTCGTCAGAAAAGGAACAGCAGTGGTTATTTCCAACGTCTGCACGCCTGGGCAATTTGAACGAACCGTAGCTGCGTTCGACACGCTCGAGGTGGGATGCGGGGAAGCAGCCTTGGGAAACGGAGAGCCGCGGCGACCTGGCGATCTCCCGGCTCTCGAAACGTGGAGTGGAGTCCGCGACGCAATCGTATGGAGTTCGGACTCCCGCCGAGTGATATTTAATGAGAGCAGCTTGAGCCACTGTCTGCAGAGTCTTCGAAGTGGCTGCTGATTGTACTATGCCACCTGGACATAGCGGAGCCGAAAAGAGAGAGGGCCACCGCGCACTTGAATCGCGCAAATCCACTTCGGGCCGAGTCTGCGGCAACGCACAGTTCGTGATTTAGACCAGACAGAGGTTTCTGCTTTGCTTGAATGCTTTGACTGCAGGACAATCGAAGCTCAATAATGGGCAGCGCTTCACCTCCAGATTTCTGTGTGTGAGCGCGAAGCTGGCTGCGCAATTCAGCAGGCGGCAGGCTGAGACAGCCGGGACGAAGTCTGGTGAAAACTCGTGTTGATGTCTTGAGGAGTACAAGCAGCTGGCAGTAAACGATTCGAACAAAGGAAATAATCAGCTACGTCGCCCCCGCAGCCAGAGCGAACAGAAAAACGAGTGGTGGAAGCGAAAAGCAAGAGAGAGTCGGGCGTTGCCGGATTGCCGGATCCGGGTGACTCCAGAGCACGTGGGCATCCTCGTTGAAGTTCAAGTCTTAGTTCGTACCTTAGTAGTTCAACTTCAGAGTAGGAGTGAATTTAAATGTAAAAAGGAAGGAGACCTAGGGAATAGAACTTGAAGGTTACTCGTCCAGTGGAGGACGGAAGAAAAAGTGTTATCAAATGGCCTGACCTTGAGTCGAACAAGGATCTCCCACCAAACACTTTAATCTTCCCCTCCATAGAATGCAGGGATGTTCCCATTACACCACCAGGCCGCTGTATCCCTTTGCCGAACTCAGAATATATCTATGACTTCTCTGAACGACATAAAGAAGAAAAAACTGATACCTTCAAGAAATATGACTCAGCCTTGAGTCGAACAAGGGATCCCCTGCCAAACTGTCGCTGGTACTTATATGAAGTAGGCATCTTCCCATTACACCACCAAGCCAATATTTCCATCTCCTCCGGATTGTCTATGTATATGATTTCCGGCGCAAAGAAAGAAAAAAAATAGATTCTCCAGAAATATGGCCCAGCCTTGAGTCGAACAAGGATCTCCTGCTACAATCAATAGCACAGTTGGCACATGAAGCAGGTATGTTTCCATTACACCACCAGGCCATTCTTTTTGTGTCCCTTAGATGTATCATATGAATCAGTTCTGCGAACAAACCTAAGAAGAAAAAGAGGGGCCGCGGGGGGCCGCGGTATATATTGTGCAAAACACGCTACATGGATGTATAGCTGAAGAATTTGGCTGCACTTTACGTGCTTGAATAGTTGCACTAGAGTTTTAAGTGAAGTGATAATTGAACGCGGCCGCGGGTGCGAACTCTGTGAGGACACAAGCGCGAGGATTTCTCGAATAAAGCAGGTCCAGCTGGGACGGTAGGATAGACGGGGCGGTGTGGGTATTCCCGACATACGCCGCATCCCTTGCAGATGAAACATACGGTTGGCAACCTGATCAAAGCTTGCCTCCACCGGGTGGCTCGAGAACCAGGATACCAATCGTGCACTGCACAAACTCATCCTTCGAGGATTTGGAGTGCTCTGTAATCTTCAGGATCCAGTGCGGCGACGATTCTCCGAATGAGACACAATACTAATCCACGAAAATTGAGGCGCAATTTGAAAATTAAGAGCGACATGCGCGGACGAGCCCTGGACGCATCCGGCTCCGGAACGCTGCGCTTCGAATCGCCCGCTCTGGTAAAAGCCATTTGCGAGCCTCAAGGGTCGTATTCTAGGATTCGAGCGGGAAGGCAGACTTGCAGTTCGAGTAAGAAGAGGAGAGACATGAGGAAGAGACCCCGAGGATACAGCAAGCGTTGAAGACGGGCCAAGCTGGGCATGGAGCCAGGCAGACAGGATACCGGTCGTGCAAAAGATTGCCCAGGTTGCAGCTGCAGTATAGGTTCGAGTCGACTGGCTGACAAAACGCGATGGGAGGCACTAGCAGCAAGACTAGCAGGAGGTCTGAGATGAGTCTGATGACGGTCAGAGACGAGAGTAAATACGCACGTGAAACGACTTCGATAACAACCACCAGTACCACCTCACCGTTGAACTGTGCCGTATGAAACTGGCCTTCCCCGCAAACCCTCCTTCGCACCCCGGTCGCTACTGCTGATGATTTGTATCCTTCGACACTCGTCGTCGTTTCAAGCGGCGTCCAAGCTTCATCTGAGGTGTACGGCGGCAACGAAGTCGTCAGCAACCACCACAGAGCGCGTTCCACGCGCTCAGCTTCAGCTTTCAACAAGCGAGGCACGAGCTTCGTGTTGAAGCGTCTGTCTACGAGAGACTACCTTCAGCTCGACAAGGACACAAGGATAATAAGGACGCGCCCAGCGCTCCGGGCTCTGCTCGTTCAGCCACCCCAGCCCAGGTGACGCACAGGTCGCGGACGGGAAGACGGATCGTGAGCCTTTCCAGTCATGGACACGGACATATGGACAGCTTCCAGGGAGTGCATGGGCGACACTCCTCATGAGCGTGTCTTTGCGAGCTGTTAATTTCACTCGGTGTGTCTTTCTTCCCTTCCCTTCCAGCGTGTTTCTCCCCTGCCGTCCCCGAGTGTTCCTTTGCCCCTTCCTGTCCCCGCGGTGCTCCCCTTCTTCCTGCTCCCCTTACTTTATAACCTCACCTTTGCTTCCCTTCACCTTCGTGTCCACGTATGATTCACCGATTACAGTATGTCTTATCTCTTCCACAGCCTGCGTCTCCTTCTTGCCGTCCTGTCCGTGCCTTTAATTCCTCCAGCCCCCCGCGCACGAGCCCACGTCCGCGTCCGCGTCCTCCTCGTGGCCCGTACCCCGTACCCCTACCCATCTGCAACACCATCACGTTCCCACCAATGCGCACCGTATCCCGCGTCCTTTCCGTGATGCTCTCTCCACGCCGTCCCTCCCCGCTGGACGTCTGTCAGCTCTAGTGCGGATGTATCATACCCCTCCCCACGTAGGCGAAGGAGGCGAGCGTGTCTTGCGCAGGAGGCTGAACGCAGACGCACCCACCCACCCACGCTTCACCGCCGACCGTCTACGCAAGCGTGTACACTCCACCGCCGCCGCGAATGTCCCTACTGCCAGCGTCGAGTACCATCAGCCCGGATGTCCTTCAGCTTCAGCGCCACCGCGGACGACACCATCTTGCTTGCAACGCTTCCCACAGGGTGGGGTGCGGCGGGAATGCGCGCGTATGCGTCGCCCGTCGAGCGCCCCCGCGTCCGAATCTTCCGCCTACACCGGCGCTGTCGTGCAGGAGGGGAGGCGCAGCGCGCGTACAGGATGGCGCAAGAGAGGGATGCACGTGGGAGGCGCCGCAGCGAGCACCGGGGCCTGCGGCGCTTCCGGGGCGGGGTGCACGCGGACAGGATGCGCGCGCACGTGTCGCTCTGCACGGCGCGTACGTACTGCCCCGCGCCCCCCACCCGCCCGCGCAGGACTCGACTCGCCCGCCCGGCCCCGCGCCGCGCGTGTACGACACGGAGGCCGCTTGGGCTCATGTGCCTGGGCGCTCAAGGATGCCTCGGCCTGTGCTCAAGATCCACCGGCGGCTCAAGCTCTCCAACACCCCCGCGCTCCAGATCTCCGAGGACCCAATGAAGGCGGCGCTTTAGGACTCCAAATGTCAATGAATGAAGATGAGGAGGACGCGCGCGTACGGTGAGACGTTACCTGTTTTCTTTTTCGGTGCGATGCACTCACAAATGCGCAGACCCACTCACGCACTTCGTGTGGGGGACGAAGATTCTGCGGGGCGAGAAGCATGTGCCAGTGAGGTGATTGATGCGTGCGCGCTGGGAAAGGGAGGGGCGGGGCGAGCCCGTGTTCGTGAGCGAGGGGTGAGCGAGCGGAGCTGGAGAGCGCGCTTGCGGGGGGCGAGTCCTCGTGCTACGGAGCGGAGCTGCAGCGGGAGAGCGCGCTTGCGGGGCGGGGGCGGAGCTTGAGCGTATACGCGCCGGTACGCGTCGTGGCGACTTATGCGCGGAGGCGACCCGCTGCCCCAGGCTTGAGCCCGGGTTGCGGGTGTCGGCGGCGGGGGCGGGTGTGGTGGAAATGCGGAGGTGGGCGGCGTTTCCGAGCGCGGGCGGGCGGAGATGTGCCTGGAGGGAGAGATCCCTAGCGGCGCGTGGACTTGCGGGGTGGCAAGCGCCTGCATGTCTGGGCTCGTGGAGATGTGGGGGGAGAGGTGCGGGTGTTGGCGCGCGAGAGAGTGTGGTGGGGGTGGGTTGGCGCTGCGACTTGCGCTCGGGCTCCGGTGGCGAGACATTATCAACGTCTTTCCACCTGTGCCGCTGGGTTGGGCACGAAGGTGGTCAAGTGCGTCCAGGGCCGCTCGCGGCGGCGCATGTCCCAGGTTGGGTCGTCGTGCTGGCGCGCTGCCTAGGCTCCGCGCGACCTGGCGCTGGGAATCCGATTCCACGTGTGGTTGGCGGCGCGTGCCGCGGCTTCGAGGCTCGGCGCTGAGGATGGGAAGCGGGGGCGGGGCGTCCCTCGCCTCGGTGCGAGGACGCGGGACCTGGAGCGGGGGCGGCCTCAGTGTGAGGAGGCGAACGCGCATACCTGGGTGTGGGTGTGAGGGCGCGGCGGCGAGCTTCCTGCTCGCCTGCGCGTCGCTGGAGGACGCGGGCGTGCGTCGCGGTGCCATGTCATCCTCACGTGTAGTCCGCGCTTTCGCGGCTCGGCGCTCAGCCATACGGCGTTCGGCTTGTGAGATTTCCGTGTCTTGTGGCAAGCGCCTGGGCTCTCTAACTCACTGTTATGTCAAGTTGGAATACCACCTGTTTTAAAGCTGCGGGGACTCCCATTGAATATCAATGGCAGTACAAGGATTAGAGAGTTTCCAGCGAATTGTGTCCGGTGTGTACGGTTTGCATTCCCCCTTTTCAGCGTTACAATGAGAACTTGAGCCCGCCCTCGCGAGGCAAAGTTCCTCTGGGCTAAATGTTAATGTGTATCTCCGCGTGCGGTGTCTTCGCGAGGATGGTAATAGGTATGATAATCTGTGACGACCTCACACGAATGTTAAGATATCAGCATTGTGCATAAAACTACAACCAGACAACGTGTTTGGTAGGAAATGAAAACAAAGAAAAGATAATTCCAATGAAAAGCCCTGCAACGACAATTAGTCGAATTTCTGAACACAAGATTCGTTGAGTGTACCTTTATGTGGATGCGGGATAAGGGGTAGGCACTGGGGGAGCGAGATAGAAGTTCGGCGCGTCCGGTAGACCCTCCCAAGGAGAAAAAGATTGCACAGGCGGAGTATATGTGAGTGCGAGATGAAGGCCATTCTGCATCAATGACTGCAGTTGCGGACGGATATCGAGCTCCATGGCCCGGTCAAAGCGGATTACAACGCGCTTCAGAGTCCTTGATTTAAGGAAGCGTAGGAGTGCTTTGTCGGAAATGGCACAGTAGTATTGGATCTCCAACACCTGAAGGCCCGGGCAACATGGAGTGGGCAAGTCGACAGATGGACTGAAGGATTCTAAAATCTCGTCATCGAAACTCTCTATGCTGATGTTGAGTTCGCGAAGGGCAGGCGGTAGGTCGCGAAGGAAACTAGCGAGAAACAATTTTGACAGCCATCCATTAATAATCTCGAGCCTTTCGATGAGCGGAGCAGTGGCGAGAAAACGGACATAGGGCATATTTTCGTTATCCGACACTCCGCGAAGTTTTAAGTTCCGCAATTGTGGAAAAGAGACCCAGCCGAACAGGCGGCAGACGGCCTGAAAGGTGTCACAGCCTAGATCCAGCGTATGAAGAAATGAATGTGTGAGGACGGGCTCTTCGAGTCTGCTGCAAGGTCTGCTGCTGACGATATCGGGCGGGTCATCAATGAACAGGCCGCAAGTCCGCAGCTGAGGACAGCGCGAGAGCAACTGCAGGGCCGTTTCGCTCGTCAGTGGACCTTGAGCACTCCATGCTGTTGTGATCGAAAGGTTTATTAAACCACCCCAGCGAAGCGGTAATTCCAAGGGGCTTAAACTGCCTCCTTTAAAGGTGAAGGAGGAGAGTTCGGGCGCACCAAGGAAGCCGAATGAATCCAATCGAACGGCATCTTCCGTGTGTCGGAAGGGCATGTTGATGCTGACCGACTTGAGC